AACTGAAACTCAATTTACACTGTGTTCAGTTTTTGTTGCAAGTATGCAGATTTACTGAATATCCCCAAATGTCAGACTCTCAATATTACTGTTAGACATTTTATATATTTGGTGTCACCCTTCCTTGGAAAATGGTGTATTCTCTAGTGATTCCTAGTCCTTGAACTTCTGTCAAGTAGTCGATACACCTGATGTCATCAAGCCTCCAACATAATTCCTAAATTTCCTTTTTATGCAAGCTCTGTGCAATAAGCACATTGTAGTGTGGGGTTTGAGTGAGAGCATGCATGATGATAAAAGGTAGACGCAGTCGGCTAAAAGGATGTAGTGACCGTAAAACTTTCAGGTACCTAACAGCATAGCGTTTACATCTAGGAAACAAAAATTGCTTGAAATACAATTAGAATTTGTCAGAAGGATGGCCATGTTTCTCTTTATTCAAGTTGACCTGGCCATGTGACATTTTCATGATGGTGCCCCTGGGCCAGCTCGCTGTAGTGTGTCCTCCTAATTTCTTCTTGGTGGAGCATTACATCCACAACCAGGTCAGACAGAAGCCACATTTTCTACTGCCTTGTTCTTTCTCTCGCCAATATGTCATAATGCCTTAATAGACTGTCCTACATCTGGAAACCAATCGGTTCTACTAGCGATTACATATTACATTTTAAGAAACATATACAGATCTATATTTTTCTATCAGTAATAAGAATTAATTAGTATTGCTATCCCTACCTCCTAACAAAATGACTTAGCATTTATTTCTCTCAGTAAGCTGGAATGATCTCCACATTGTGAACTCCATGGGTCAATTCCTTGTTCTCTTCTTTCTAGAATAATCACATAATTTATCATCCGAACCAAAGGATGTTTGAGATTTAAAAGGGCACTTAGCTAATTAATACTATTTGATTTCTGAAATATTAATATATTGGATGACAAATTGGTTTTTATTATAATGGTGAACTGGAAAAATAGTTTCATAAAAATATTTTCAAAAAATTATATCTACAAATAGACATAAACTTATGTCTAAAAATGACATAATTTTAATGAAAATTAAAATAACTACTAGATCACATACTTGATTGGCCAAGAAAATCAGCTAATATCAAGTGCTGTTGAGGAACAGGGACAGGAGGAGCTCTAATGTACTGTCAGCAGGAGTATATATTTTGCAGAACGGTTGCATACATTTAGAGAGTAAAATATTTGCATAGGTATTTGCATAAATTATGCTTTTTTTTCTCCTCTTCCTATTCTCAGGTCGGAAGTGTGACTGCCATAAAAGTAAATCTGATATCTTGGTTCGTTTTGGTTTGCTTTGTTTTTAAATTCTGAGCTGCTGTGTCTTACCTTCGGCTGGAAATGTTCTACTTCATTTTCATTGTTACTTCAAACTTCTTATGTAAAATAAGCCTACTCTCCTCACTCCTGAAGTGTTGGGTTTGGTGCACCTCCTCTGTGCTAACTGAGCATCCCTTTCTTCCTCTGCTGAGGAGACTCCCCATTCTGGTTTGCCCAGCCACCGCCCCATTGTCATTACTAACAGCATCTCCTTCTTTTCACGTGAGTCCCAGTAGGTCACATGGTTGTCTACCTAGCATAAGGCTGCGATCATCGTCTGTGCTCTTTGCATCTCCCACTAGATGACGAGCTCTGACACTTAGTAGGAACTTAATAACTTTGTTGAATGGGTGAAGCGCTGAGTAGGAGTCTTCTGTGACAGAGACTTACTGCAGCGAACCTTGACTAGAGTCGGCCATCAGTCCACCCTGGGCTTCCTTGTCTCCAGGGGAGGGCTCAGCTCTCCCCACCAGCCTGTCAGTGTTGTGAACTGATACGACTCCAGTCACCGCTTCATTGAGCCCGCCACTACTAAGTCCACCTCCTTCAGACCGGAAGGGTTTTGGTGAGGCTGGTGTGGAGGGGACGGTGCTGCGACATCTCCCTCTTGTGGCCGCTGTATGCAACGCGTCACAAATCCCTTCCGACTTTCAACGCAGCCTTTAGGTGGGTGACTCTGAAGACGTCCACCCAGATTTCGTTTGGGTTTGAGGTAGGGTTTGGGCATCAGTATTTTTTTAAAGCTACCCAGGCAACTCTACTATTGATATCACCTTGGAAATATTGGCAGGTGTGGGCCCATACAGCTGTCTTCTCTGGGGGACGGTGGCTCCTGACTCTGGTGACTGGGGGGCACAGAGCTAACCCTTGCCCGCATCCCAGGAAAGGGACAACTTCACAGCTCATCAAACCCAATCAGCCACCCTCAGTGTTTCTTTTTTTTTTTTTAAGATTTTATTTATTCAGTTGACAGAGACACAGCGAGAGAGGGAACACAAGCAGGGGGAGTGGGAGAGGGAGAAGCAGGCTTCCCGCTGAGCAGGGAGCCCGACGCAGGGCTCGATTCCAGGACCCAGGGATCATGACCTGAGCCGAAGGCAGATGCTTAACGACTGAGCCACCCAGGCGCCCCCACCTCAGTGTTTCATAGCTGCAGAAACACAAGGCTGTGGAACGTGTCTTGCCATATTGCTATGTTATGAATCTTCCAGGTAGCACAAGACAAAAGGGCAAATTCCTTGATGCACTGTCCGAATTTTATTCATTTCTAGGAGGTAGAAACAAAAACTCAGGAAGAGACGTAACTTACTGTCATCAGTGGTTCTTCAGCCCGCCTGTGCACCGTTCACCAATCGCATCGGTTTGTAGGAGCAGAGTTAAGTGTACTCAAGAGGCTTGGGACTACACCCAGTTGCATTTTGGAGCCCAGACCCTTAAAACCGAGAATGGTCTGTTCCTCTTGAGTTCTCTAGAATTCAGATATGCTCAGTCAAAAGAAAACATTAGAAAAGAAACATGGGGAAACTGGACTCTAAAGTATCAGTTTCATTTTTTAGGCCCGAGGAAGAGGAAAGCTCCAGCCCCACCAGCAGTGCCCCCAGGGAAGGGTGTGAGCTGAGGCGTGTGCGCTTTCCAACTTGAATCTGGAGACTGATGGTGCAGAACCTGGCATCTAAATGTTATTTGAAGGACAGCCTGAAAGTCCACAAGACACAGCCATCCTCCTCAGTGAGGTCTTGAGCCTCGGTCAGGGAATTTTGAAGAGAGAGCTTCTTCTCTCCCCCTTTCTTTCCTTCCTTCCATCGGGTAGAATTCAGCCACAGAAAAACCCAAGTGTTGAGAACTGACCTGCTAGAACACTCTGAGTTGTAGTAAGGGACTGAGTGCTCATAACCCCAAGGTTTACAAATCCTTGATAGTAGCTTCCTCAGTTTTTGAGAACAGAGAGCTAATGAGCCTACATTTATACGAGGGTGGTGTAGCGGACTTTTTTGTTTTTTGTTTTTTTCTTTTTTGCCTGCTCAGTGTTGAATCTCACTTGCTTGTGTTTGCGGAATTCCCTAACTTGTAAGAGGCAGAACTCACCAACCACTGTGAAAGTGGAACATGTCAGATATTCACTTCCCAGGCTCCCTTGGAGGCAGAACATGGTTGCATGACCTAACACTGGCCCCTCAGTCCCAGACTCTGAATTAGAAACTAGAACGGAAGAGATGAAGGGACGCTGGAGAGATCACTTTGGTGCAGACAGCACGCCAGCAACGTTGAGTTTCCAAGTCCAGCGGAGGCAGGGAGGGGGTGGAGGAGTCGGGGTCTAGTTCCAGGAGGACAAGAGCAGTGCAGCAGGTGGCCAGTATCCCTGCGCTGGAAAGTCGGTACCCTTGTTATACGGTCGGGAGATGGCTGGTGATTCCTGAACCAGTGTTCACCAAGGTCTTCCAAGAACCTATTTAACCAACTGAACTAAGAGCTTAAATTGAAGCAGGCCTGCCTGAGAGCAGAGAATAGGAAGAAAATAGGACTTTGCTAGAAGAGGCTCTTTCTGTCTGCAGCCTGCAATTTAGGTTATTCAGCATGCAGTTATTTGAAGCTGTTGGGTTACAATATGTTAATTTTCTACGTCAGGATACATTTAGTGTGAGAAGGGGAGTGCAGGTGCCTGGTAAAGACCCAGATGTCATGAGGCCATGGATGTAAACGGGTTCAGGACACAGCGAGAGCATCTTAGCTGAGGATCCACAGGCGTTGCTCAATGGGGTAAACAGAGAAGTAGGGATTTAAAGATCTTTTTGAGAAGTGAAAGATCAGCCTGGGACAAGTTCTGATTACGCTGAGTTCCTCTGTAACGGCGCCACCAAACGCCTGTCATGTTTTTTTAAACCTAATGCCATCTGCACGGAATACTTTTAAGTATTCTTATACTTAAACATTACATATGTAAGTATATATATGTTATATAATATTAAACTTAAATATTCTATAATTTTTTGAGAATCTCAGGTGATTTTCCTTCCATTATTCAAAGCTCAGAGACTTCACAGTCATGTTGTCAGTTTATTGACCCTTCAGCTTCTGGGTTTTGCAAATAAAATACTATTAGCTTCTTTTAGAGAATAATCTCAGAGTGTTCTACATATAATAAGGAGTTCACCCTTCACTGCCCGTCCAGAGAGAGAAAGTGAGGCGCAGAGCCTCGATCAGGTCTGGGTGGATCAGGTCTGTGTGGAGCGGGGTCAGCTCCCAGGACCAGGCACAGGCAGCCAAGACGTAAGACACTGCAGACGTCAGCTGTCTGAGAGAGGTACTAGATGTCGCAGCTTCCTGCCTTCAGCTCTTATTGTCTGGTCCCAGCATGGAGCAAGACAACTGGAGGTCTGGGCTCCCTGGACCCACATTACTCGTTCCGTCTGCTATGCCACAAAGCTGGAAAGCTGTATCTCTAGTTCTCTCTTCCAGGCCTGGGCTCTGGGGAGCAGGCTGAGTGCTCAGAAAGCCTCAGTCCCTTGTCCATCCCACAGGTGGCTGTGGAAGAAGCATCCCCGAGGAGTTGATCTGAGAAGAGTACAGATGTGCAGAGTGTCATGGGAGCTTGGGACATGGAGGCAAGTTCAGTGTTTATTCCTTCAGAAAGTCCCTTCACTGAGTCTGTGGTGTCAGCTCTCTGGAAGTGTCACACTGGCATAGACTGTGATGGAATTTGGTTCCTGGGGACAAAACAGAAGTCTGTGAGCAGAGGCACCAGCTTCACAGGCTACAAATTGAAAGCGCACTGCTTAGTAAAAGGAAAGAGTCTCAGGTATCAGGTGGCGCAGTGACTTGCTGGGAGCAGAACCTCAGGGCTCCAGCTCCCTTCCAGGTGTGTGCACTCCATCACCATTGGGGAGACCCAGAAGATGTCTCTCTTTGCTCTCTGCCCTGACCTTGCCTTATAAGGAAAACCATTTGCTTTGCTGTTGGGCACAGGGCAGAGTTGGGGAAACCCAGAGAATTCTAACTGACGGAGCTTTAGAAAGGGATAGTGAGACCCAAAGAGAGAAGGAAAAATTGGAGCAGAGATGGGGGAGGAAAGACAGGACTGCAGGCGAAGATGTTTTCTAGGTAGAGTAGATTCAAGAGTCAGAGAAAGACAGGAATGGAGGAATTCAGGAAGTTTTGCTGTAAAACGTGAAATGCAACAGACTGGTTTTGATGAAGAAAACATCACTAAAAATCTACATTATTTCTTAAAGCTTTTTAAAATCAGAGTCATGTATTTACTTCCCCATTGAATAGGACAGTGTTCTGAGAATAGACCTCCGGATGCAGACAGGGCATCCTCCCAGGCATCTCCGGGTGTGAGTCCAGTAAGAGCTTTGAGGCAGAGGAGTCAATGTAGGCATTTCTGTGGCCTTTTGATCCTCAATTATCTCCTAAAATGCTTTATTTAATAGAACCCCACTGAAGCCAAGATTTCAGCCCAGAATTTATTTCTGTCCATTTAGGAAAAGAAATAATTCCTATCGAGTAAACTTGATCCATGCTGATCTTGCAGTGGGGGTAGATAGTGAGGCTTAGTCTGGGCTGCACACCATATTCTCTTCCGGGCTCATGCCAGGCACAGCTCCAGTCCTAGACATTCTGATGAAACTGGGCTAGATGGAGTCCCCGCATGAGCCTTTTTACAAAGTTGTCCTGTGATTCTCTGATGCAGCTGGACTCAGGAGCTCTTGGACTCAAGATGCAAATCCCAAATGTAAACATGCTCTGGGGAGGCTGTTTTTTTTAATGGATAAATGTCTGGTTGCTCACCATGAACATTCTGATTGAACAGAATCCTAGGAGAAAGCTCCAGGAATCTTTATTTTTAGCAAATATGCCAGCAGATTCTGATGTGGTTTTTGGACAGCTCTCGGAGAAACACTAGTGAACAGAGAGAGAGCTGTCCCATGTGAGCAGCCAGGAGGGGTCTCCTGGAAGTCCCGCAGCCAAGACCATGGAGGATCCTTGAGACCCACTTTCTAGGGCTTGCCTTCTCCACTTCAGGACTGTTTTATTTTGGCTCTACCCAGGTCCCACCATCCCCTCCACCACCTCTTCCCTCCCTGAAGAGAAGAGGCTCAGAGAGATGCCTCACCTGGACAGGCTCTGGGACGGGTTCTGTGGCAGCAACGTAAATGGTGGTGCAGGGGTCCTGAGCTGGCAGGGGATCAGGTTTCTTCTGAACAGACTATGAGAGAAGCAAAGAAAGAGGAAATCAGCTGAGCAGAGTTGTTTCCATCTGATTCTCCCCATGGAGAAGCACAAGATCCAGAAGCTTTGAGCTAGAGAGCCCCTCAGAGTCAACTGGTCCAGCCTCCTTCCCAGGTGGAAATGCTCCTGCAAATTCTGCAGAATTCAATTCTCAGGGCTTTGCTTGGACTCCCCCAGGGGCATCGTGGAGCTCACAGCCTCGAGAGGCAGCCCACTGCACCATGAGCCCTTCCCAAATGTTGTAAGTCTTCCTGATAGTGAACCAGGACTGCTGGGGCTGTCACCAGTGCAGTTGAAGGGAATGGGATCTTCATAACCTTTGTCTCACTCCTGTCACCGAGTTCATCCCATCCCACCCAGCTGTTCCTGCTATTCCTGACTCTGACAGGATTTCCTGTGACTTCTCTTTCCTGTGCAAGTACTGAACTTAATAATATAATAAGCATAATAATAAGCATACCTACAATGTTTTCCACAAGTGCCCATTTGTCTCACATCAACTCTGCATGTTAAATCCCGTTGTTATATTTCACAGATGGAGAAGCTAAGGCTCAGAAAGACTTAATACTTTCCTGTGTGCATTTAATCATTGTCCACATTATTAGTCTTTATATGATATATCAAAGCTAAGGGTCCCACGAGGCCTCTCAGCTTAAAGTGGATGCTCTTCCCAGCGTGCTACTCTTCTTTGCTTACCCCAACTTATAATGACCTAAATACCCCAGATATTTAAAGTCTAATTTATACATGATGGCACTTAACTGTGCGATATTTAAAGCACTCTGACATATTTACATGTTGTTTTTTTCAAACAGACTAATTATTCCTATATTTCTTCACATTCCCCACAAAAATAGTACTGGGCACATTTTTAAAAAATCCATTGATGTTACTTTAAATGACTTACAATCCATAACACCAGGATGAAGTCAATGTAGGGGTAAATTGAGACCACATCCCCATTAAATGGAGGTAACAAGACTTATGCCAGGGAAGTCATGCTTTCAACACACTTCAGGGACACCAGTGTAGGATATTGCTACTCCCCACTTCTCCTGGATGTAGAGCAAGACTAGAAACTAAACATGGGTTTTAACTTGAGAAGCTCAGAATCTTGTCCTCTGTTGGAAAAGGTAAGGAATTAAAAACGTTTACTGGAGGAAAGAAGATTCAAGGTGGGACATGATCTTTCTCTTTATATATTTGATGGATTGTCATGTAGAAAAAGAATTAGATTTGTCCTGTAGAGTCCTTCGGGTTTAAACCAAGATTGGAATTTGGAGATTCAATATAGTGAAGATCTTTCTAATATTAAGAGATGCTCAAATGTGGAATGGATTGCCTTGGGAGGCAGGGAATTCGCCATTACTGGAAGTGTCTGGGGTAGACCAGGGCTTCCCATACTTGAATGTACATATGCATTATGTGGGTGTCTTGTTAGAAAGCTGGTTCTATTTCAGAAGACTTGGGGTAAGCCCTGAGGTTCTGCATTTCTAAAAATGTCCCAGGTGATACTGATGCTGCTTATTCACAGACTGTATTTTAGCAAAAAGGAGCTAGCCAACACTTTGGAAGTAATAATGAGAAGATAACTCAAGCAGTAATTGGGTGATTCAAATAGATGACTTTCAAAATCCCATACAACTCACAGATACTATATTTCAGAGAAAAAATGAATTTAAGAAGAATTACTTGCAATAAGGAGATAGATGAAGAGAATGTGAAACAATTTAAGAGACCTTTATCCCTGCCTGTCTTCCTGTCTGTGAAGACTTTGGTATGACCTGACTTAGAGGCACAGGGGAGAAGTTAGTAACTTAAGCTTTTCATGTTTAGTGAAGAAGTTTTGCAAAGGAGGAAAAAGGTATAAAGGAAACCACCTGTACTTACTACTTCAACACAACATGGTTAGCACATTGTTATTTTTCCCTTCAGGATTTTAACCTGGATTTAGGGAATTCTCTTAAACATAGTTGTAATAACTTAGTACATTTTTGTATCCCTGTGTCTTCGGTTAGGGCATGAGTCCAGGGAGCGTGATTTACAGAAACTCCAGGGGTGTTATTCTCACATATTTTTCATGAGCAGTGTTTCCCAGAGTTGTACAATGTAGCAGTCCTGAGAAGACCTAGGAGAGTTCCCTAGCAGACAGCAAATGTGTGTTACATAATTTTCCCTGTTACCCTAGTCTTGATAATGGTATCATATCATCGTTACAAATAAGAACAAAGAAAATAGTAACATTTAATCATTGTCTACGTTATTAGTCTTTATATGATATCATATAGCATTGCAACTATGAACAAAGAAAATTGTAAAAACATAGGTAACTGTAAATGCATATTGATGTATAAAACAATAACAATTACGTCTCCTATGTTTAAAACACACATGAAATTAAAATAATGGCCAAAATAAGGCACATAAATCAGAAGGTGAAGTTAGAGGGAAGATGAAGTTTTGTCCAGGAAGAGAATAAATGTTAGACTTTGGTGAGGCAAGGATGCATTTTATAATTTCTAGGTTATCAACTAAAAAACAAGAAAAAATTTGCTTAATTACTAAAAGAGAGGAGAATGGTGTAATAAATTATAATTTAAAACCCTCCTACACTGTTGGTGGGAATGCAAGCTGGTGCAGCCACTCTGGAAAACAGTATGGAGTTTCCTCAAAAATTTGAAAATAGAGCTACCATACGATCCAGCAATTGCACTACTGGGTATTTACCACAAAGATACAAATGTGGGGATCCGAAGGGGTACGTGCACCCCAATGTTTATAG